GAGCTTTGGTGGTGTTGCCCTACACTGTTAAAGAATTGCCCTGAGCCTGGCTGTATCTCAGTGGGGGTAACTGTGCCAAAAGTTTCTAGAGAAAAGCTACCCTGCCTTCGGTGATGGACTGATAGTCATGCTTGGCTCTTCCTTAGTGCCCTCTGTCAATATTTTTACCCTGCTTTATCGCACAATGAGGGTGTTTGATTCCTGGCCATCTGACACCTTCTGTGTCCATGCACACCACTGAAAAGGCATGCTTATGAAACACCCCAGTATCAAACCACTGTGGTTCCAGGCCCACGTGGCATTTATGTCATGGTCAGTGACGGGTGACATAGCCCCTTGCATCTAATCTAAGAGGTAAATAGTACTTGATCAGAAGGGAAGCATTTTACCCTGACTTTGTGCACAGGTAAATCCATGCAAGTTTCAAGTTTTGGGAAAGCAGGAAGCAGCCTCTCTGGGTAGATGCTTTGCCTCTCCCCTTCTTGCTTATTATTTGCAAAGCCTCTTGAAGCAGAATAAAATTGAACTCAAGTATTCTTCCTATGGCTCTTCCTCCACTCGTTCTGGACCTCCAGGCTGCTGACACAATCACAAATGAATCAAGAGGAATTAACCTGTAATTCCCTCGGTGGTTGCATTATCTGGAAATGGGGTAGGGCAATGGGACAGTCCTACCACTTCAGTCACAACCCTGATCAATTTATTTCTAAATATCTCCCATGGTCGACAAGGGAAGCCAAGAAACACCAGCCCAGTAAATTAACTTCTGTAGAAATGCTTTCTTTTCTCCGTTTTGATGTGGCACAACAGTCCACTATTAACATGACATATTGGCACTATATTAAGCAAGCTACCACTCTATATCCATCATTTCTGCTGTGCATTAAACCTGGTTACCACACATTAATCATTGATGCTGTGTGTTAAGTAGAAATGCTTTTGCAACAGTAAAACCTGTTGGAAAACAAACGGGAAAGAAAATGGGAAATTGCTTTTTGCAAGTAAGTTTAAAGTAACCTTCTTCTGGCCATATTAACCTAAACAGAGAGATTGGAAGCCTTGACATCACTTTGTGGTAGCTTTATTTCCTAACCAGTGCTGTTTTGTCAAGGCCTCCTGAGAGATTTGATAACTGTGATTCTCCTGGACATTTCATGGAAGAGCCAGCCAGGGTATATAGCAATCTGGAGTCCCCCGTGAAACCATTTCACTTGGTTTTCTTATGCTGGTACAGACAGGCTGTCAAACCTTGCTTGCTATTTTCCAGGTCAGATTGGAGAAGGGAGCCAACCAAAGATGATGATTAAAATAACCTAGTCAAATGTGGTGGACTTCAGATTTGCCTGTACAGTCTCAGATGGGAGGGCAAAAGGCTGGTAAAGAGATTTTAATCTTTTAAACAAATTCTCCCTACAGGTGGTTTTTTTTGGTATATGTTGTGACTAGCCGTTGTCACCTTCAAGCTGTATATTAGGCTGCCTGCAGTGGAAGTTTATCCAATTTAATATTACCAGGTGGGTAGATTGCAATCTTAGCTTCAGTACCTGATAGCATGAGATCAGGCTGCAAGCCCTGTGGATAGCGACTTAAATTCCTTAACTTGACAGACTTGGGTCTCTGGGTTTCTTAGAGACTGCAACAATAAAATAATACTTTGACTTAAAATATATATATATTCATATGTTCAATATTTAGTCTGCTGAATGTAATCAGGATCTGGGGCTGGTGATCTAGTATAGGATGCACACACTTCCTCTTCTCTGCCATAGCAATGTGGGTCTCCTGGGGTTCACCAAGCCTTGAGGGAGAGATCTGACACCAGGATAATTATTTTTTTCCCCTCTGAGTTCACTAGTGAGCCTTGGGCCCAATTTCGTAAACACTTTCAGTTCCTCTTTATAACTGAATTCAAGATAAGCATGTGCACGAGTGAGTGTGAAGTGTTGGTTTTCCTGGAGTGGAGAATCTGCTGCTTTGACAATTTTAAGATACAATATAAGGCAAACTATTTAGCTACATGTATATTCACTGCTTTATTGGGGAAGGCTTTATGTTCACAGCAGAAAATGTAAAACTTTTAGCATGTTTTGTTGAATGACTGTTGTTTTTCCAAAAACCAAGCAGCTTGCAAGCCATGAAGTTGATTTTCAAATCCTTGCTTTCCTGTACAAATCTCTTTGTAGAACTGGACCCTTAAGAAGGACAATGAAAAACCTAAATGGAGGCACAGAAACCCTGCTGCAAAACCCACTGTGGGCAATCTCCACGCAGATCTCATTTCCCTGTTCTTTGCGTCCCCCAGCTACAGCACAGCACTTCAGCATGTAATGAATGGTGAGCACAGGGATCATCCCACCTCCTTTTAGCAAAGCATTTAAGGTGCTGCTTAAATCTGCTCTAGTCTTGTGGTAGCTATCAGAGTCCCTAAGGAAATCTTTTGGATTCCAGGAATTGGGCTGAATCTCCTCCTAATTGAATCGCCACCCAAAACTTCACACAGCCCTACTAGATCAGTGCTACTTCTTGCTGAAAAGAGTAGCAGTGCCATTCACATTAGCAAAGGCGGTGTCCAAGTTTCCAAAAAAAATCCTATGTTTTTAAAGCATTTACCTAGAAAACCGCGCACACAGTCTTGCAGTTGGACCAAAAGCAAAGTTAATTATGTGTTTGTTAGTTTTTTGAGGAGTGGGGGTGGGGCTGGGGAGGAGGAAGAGGGGCCTTAAAATACTTCCATTCATAAATGAGCAGCTAAGAGATAATGGACTACATGTGCAATACATCAAGACACAGCAGTTAAAACTGGTTGCTTGTTTGAGGAGGCAAAATGAGGGTAGCGTGGTGATTTACAGAACTGGCTGGAAAATAGTTTTCTTTCTGTGGCAAAGTTTGTCATGGGGGGGGGGAGACTTAACTCTAAAAATAAATTTTTGGATTCTCAAAGCCCCCTGTCATGTCTTTTGGGAGCTGTCGATCAACTGCTTCATGTTCCCATAGGGTATTGTGGTCTCTCATATTAGTTATGGCAAGAGATGTGCCCAAATAATTTACACGTACCAAGTGCAAAAGGTCCAGCAGGAAGGAGTGAGATGCAAAGGTTTCAGAACTAGTTGTTTGTTTGTTTGGTTGTTTTTTTGAGTAGTGACCTTCAGTAAGGTTTTGAGTAAGCTTTGGGTATGGCCTCATGGCATATGTGATGTCTTGTGCACGGTATCCTTTTAAATGCACGCACAGGTGATAGGAATACCCCTTATGTAGTGGGTGCATGGAAATTGGGAGCTAATGGATCAGGCTTGTGATTCCATCAGCCTATCATTAGTTATAACTTGCTGGCAGGGCTTAACTGAGCACCTGCAGTAATTATGAATGTGGGTCCAAGGTATAAACTAGAAGATCAGTCTGCAAAACGTTATACTATCCCCATAAAATTCATCACTGGCAGAAATAAATCACTGGTTATAGATTATCATCATCCAGCCAGGATGCTGAACTAGACAAAACCCCACTGTAAAGATCAGCAAAAGAATCATTGCAGCATCTCAGTGGAACATCATGAATTAAGATTTGTGCTCAAAGCATGATTTAGGGCTAAAGGCCAGGAGCCGGGTGTCTCAAGTATCACTTGGAAGTTTCATTCAAGGGCTGTCACCATGTGTAGTTCACCTGAGCTCCTGGTATGGATGACTGCCAGATGGCAACAGCTGTGGAAGGATGCAGAGGAAGTTTAAAGCTCCTTGTTTAGGGCAATGCAAAATTATTCTGTTTTTTTTTTCTTCAGTCTTGAGATATTATGTGTAGTTGCTTTCAAACTTACAAGCAACAAAAGTAAGAAACAGCTTTGTTTAAAAACCGCACTTTATAGTTAACTTCCTATTGATTTTTACCTGTCAAGACAGGGTTAGTATTACCACCATCATTATTATGGGTTCTTAAAGAATCCCTGTCAAAAGGGAGTAAGCAGCAATGTGTCTTCAGTATGCTGAAGACAAATACATTCAAATATATTGAGGACATTTACTCCTCTTGCTAGTCCATGCTGAAGGTCAAAGATACCATTTCTCTAGTATTGGTACTTCAGTGATCTAGATATAAAACTGTCCCTGTCTCTGTAACTCTGTCTATGCTGCAGTCACACCTTCACTTGCATAGCCTTTTTTTGCTGGTCAGGCAAAGCTGTATTTCATTAAATATTCAGACAGGCTCTAACCTGGGCTCTTTTTTAAAGCCATAAATTAGCAAAGCCTGCTAAGTACACACTCACATTTCCATCCAATTTATGGTTTTTTCTTTTTTTTCCCTAATCCTCAGCTACGATTCATCACAATGAATGTTTCATTCAGCATTTTACTTAGAATATTTTTTTCTTATGAAAAGGATTTTTTTTCCAGTGGGGGGGGTGGAAAGCCAGTAGATAAATTTCATGTCACTCCAGCAGCATGTCCTTTCTCCTACACATGTCCCTTTCCCTTTAAAATTGTTGCTGTCATGCTGATGTTAACATTTGTTAATACTGACATGGGTTATAAAATTGATACATATGCTGGGTTACTAAAGGCACACGGTTGTTTTAAAATGGTTGCTGACACTATTTTAATTTTTCTTTGAATGCTGGCATTTTCCCCAGGGGTTTTAAAAATTGCTGAGCTGGTTTTATGGAAATGCAGCAGGCTTCTCTATGAGCAATGTAATTTTAGTGTTTATGCAAAAGGAATTAGTTTCTATAAATCTACTTTCCACA